ACAGTGTTTTGCCATGCATTGGTTACATCATACACATAACTATTCAGACTTTAAGTCATATGCTAAACCATTCAATGATTGTAATCATAACATGCTACTCATAGCCCTGTCATGCCACTTGATGATTGATGCCTATGTTGTTATAGTGGTAGTTAACATGGTTGGTGTTGGAGTGGGCTTGGCTCAGGCTGCTGTCTTTTGTTTGTGGTGTTTTTTATGGGGTGGTGGGGGTGGGGGAGGGAAGGGCATGGGAGGGGTATGAGTTGATGGTGAGGGCATGTGCTGAAAGCATAGTATTGGCTGCAGGGAGCCTTGTGTTCATGGGTGTCTTCGTGGTGATCCATGTGTATTCATGGTATCAAGGTGGATGGATTTGCCTCCTCTCAGGGGAGTGTCTAGTCGGCCTCTGTTTTATATTTGTTTATCGGATGCAGAGGTTTTGTGTTTGTGTTTGTCCCATAGTTCCCAATCTTCGAGCCAATAGGACTTTCCTTGCCGTTGTTTCCTTGCCATGAGTTTGTAGGTTTTAGTGGATTCTATCGCTTCGATGCATTGGTTTACTGTAGGGGAGGTTGTTTGCTTCCATTGCCGACTGATAATGGTGAGGGCTGCGATTATGATGTGGTACATTAAGTACCGTATGTGCATGTGTGACACCTGTGGGATTAGTAGTAGTAGAAATGTTTCTGGTGTGTTTGGTAGGCGCACTCCCGTGCACTGAACTGTTAGTGTTAAGACTTGGGACCAGAAATGTCGGAGTGATGGGCAGTGCCACCAGATATGTATCATGGTTCCTCTGTCCGCTGTGCATCTCCAGCATGTTTTGGAGGCATCCGGGAAGCTATGTTTAAGTCTTGTGGGTACCAGGTACCATCTGTAAAGTATCTTGCGGGACAGTTCTGTGTGTGTCGTAGAGAGAGTCATTCGTTTGTGGGCACCATAAATATTTTGCCATTGTTCTTCAGTGAGTTGGTGTCCTATGTCCTGTTCCCACGCTGTTATGAAGGAAGGTGGTTTGGTCAATGTTTGCGCGTGTTCTGAGGCGTATACTGTGGAGATGAGTTTCGTTGCTGGTTTTATCTTTGTACATATGTTGATTATCGTTGTCCAGTGTGCATTTGGTGGCTTTGATTGTTGTGGTGTAGGTTGGGCGAGTACCCATGATCTCAATTGTCTGTATGAGAAAGTTGCCGTGCTGGACAGTTGGAATTCTGTCTGGAGGTCGGTAATGATTTGAGTTTGTTTCCTTGCATTACTTGGGAGATGGTTTTCACTGTGTCTGTTCCAAAGTTTATAGTTAAAATCTGGTATTAGTATTTGTAACATTTCCAATTGAAGTGCTGGAGAGAGTGTTGCTGTTGCTCCCATCTTTTTTCGGTATGTATCCCATATTGAAAGGGTCAATGCAGTCGTAGGTAGTAGTTCGGATGTTTTTGGTCTGTGGGTTTTTGGTAGCCATGCCAGGAGTGGGATAGAGAGCCCCCTCGCGTGGTTTTTCTCTATTTCGGCCCAAGATGTAAGTTCTTGTCGGTGTGAAATAGCCACAAGAGGGGTTATGTGGGCAGCTCTATAGTATCCTGTTACATCGGAGAGTCTCATCCCACCCTGGGCGGGTGGTCTGTACAGAGTTGTCTTGGCGACTCTTGTTTTTTTGTAGTCCCAAACATAGTTGTTTAAGATGTTCTGCAGTTCTAGCAGATATTGTTTCGGAAGTTTAATTGACAATGTACGGAACAGATATTGGATTTTTGGTAGGATTACCATTTTCACCGATGCTATTCGGCCTGTCCATGATATATATTTGCCCTTCCAGCTTTGTAGAATGGTTTTAATTTCCGTTTGTAGCTTAACGTAGTTTGCTTTGTATAGTGCACTCATCGAAGGTGTGAAGTTGACCCCCAGGAATTTGATGTGGTCCTGTCTCCAGTCATAATTTAAATTCGTTTTTAGGTTTGTCAGGTCTGTGTTTGGGATGTTTATTCCTAATGCTAGGGTTTTTGTAACGTTTATTTTGTAGTAGGAGCATTTACTGTATTGGGAGAGGAGTTCGTGGAGGTTGGGCAGTGACACGCGCGGTTGTTCAAGGGTTAGGAGAATGTCATCTGCAAACAGGGACATTTTGTATTCCCGTCCATTCACATTAAACCCATGTATGGCAGGGTGTTCTCGTATGAGGTGGGTGAGGGGTCCCAGCGCTATGATGTAGAGCAATGGGGAGAGTGGGCAACCCTGCCTGGAGCCATTAGATATGGTGAATGGTTTTGATATGAATCCTCCGTTTACTACCCGGGCTGTTGGTGATGAGTACAGTGCTTTTACTAATAATAGGAACTGATCTGGGAAGTCAAACTTTTGGAGAACTGCTAGTAAGAAAGGCCAGTGTAGCCTATCAAAGGCCTTTTCTGCATCCAGTGATAGCAGGACCCCAGAGTCTTTTTTATTTTGCATCTCATACAGTAGATTTAGGGTTTTTCTCGTGCCGTCTACTCCCTGTCTTCCCCCCACGAATCCCACCTGGTTGCTTCCTATAATTGTGGGGATTATGTGTGTTAGCCAATTAGAAAAAAATTTTGCCAATATTTCCACGTCTGTGTTCAACAGGGAGATAGGCCTTAAATTTTGGCACTTGTTCGGTAGTTTTCCTGTTTTGGGAAGGGTGGCGACATGCGCCATAAGCATCTCTGTCGGTAGTGTCCCTGTCTGTAGTGCGTGGTGAAAGACTCTTTGCAGGTAGGGGGCTATGTTAGGGGCAAAGTGTTTATAGTATAAGTTAGTCAGTCCGTCCAGACCTGGTGACTTCACTTTTGGGAGGGAGTGGATGGTGTCTATTATTTCATCTATAGTTATGGCATTTTTAAGAACCATTCGCTGTTCATTCGTGAGTGTCGGTAGTTGGACAGAGGTAAGAAAGTCATCTATCTCTTGTGCTTTGGGCTGGTGAAGTGTCGGGTCTGTGTTAAGGTTATATAAAGAGTGGTAGTAGTCTGCCATTTTGTTGTTGATGTCTTGTGGGTTGTGGAGTTTATCTCCTGTGTTAGAGAGTAAGAAAGGGATTTTGGAGTTTGCCTGTTTCTGCCTGAGTATGTTAGCTAAGTGTTTTCCTGCTCTGTTGCCTTGAGTGTATGAGTTCATTTTCAATTTCGTAAGGATGTAGGCCGTTTTCTCGAGCGACCTTGCATTGAGTTGTTTAGTAATATCTTTAATGGAGTCTGCGTGTGTGTCCGATGGGTGCAGGAGGTGTGCCATCGTGGTGTCTCTCAGTCGTCTGAGGAGGTCTATATGTGTTTTGTTGTGTTGGCGGATGAGATATGAAGCTCGGCTGATCAGCTGTCCCCGTATAACCGTTTTGTGGGCTTGCCAGGCGGAGAGTACTGAGGCTTCTGAGTTGTCGTTTAGCTGGAAGTAGTTTTTTAAGCTTTCCTCTAATTTTGCTGTGTATGATTTGTCATATAATAACGTGTCGTTGAGACGCCATGGTGGTTTTCCTCTGTGCTGGTATTTGTTGTGCAGCAATAGGGTTACTGGTGCGTGATCAGACCACACTATACTCCCGATGGTGCAGTCTTCCACCCGTGGGAGCAATGTGCCCGATATGAGTATGTGGTCGATTCTTGAGTAGGTTTTGTGTACCTGTGATAGGAATGTATATTCTGTTGCTGAGGAGTG